TGCGGTTTCAGTAGCGTTGACTGCATTTTAACCTGGACTGATTCTGACTGCTTCTCATGAGGATGCGGTTTCTGTAGAGATGGCTGCGTTTGAACTTGGACTGATGCCGACTGCTTCTGATGAGCATCTGGTTTCTGTAGAGATGACTGCGTTTGAACCTGGAATGATGTCGCCTGCTGCTGATTAAGATGTGGTCGGAAAGATGGAGAAGAATTCAGCTGACTATTATGGACAGATGCGGTTTGAGCACCAATATATTGGTCTTTAACAGCATTCTGTTGGTACTGAAACTTGGATGGTCTGAATCCATTTAGAGCCTGTTTCTTAAGAGCTTCTTTGTAAACATCCAAGCTTGGTCCATGGTTGATAGGAGTAGCTAAACCCCTAGCCAATTGAGTCCGATAAGCATCCTCACGTAGAAAATGGTCATGCTTCTGCAATTGACCAGGATAAAACTGTTGAAAACGTTGTTGTCCTTGTTGCTCCATATCATGAGCTTGCTGGTGAAAGCCACGATCTAAGAGTTGTCGACTCACCTGAGCCAAATTTTCTTTGTTAGTGTAAGCAGATTGGAAACCGTTATTCCCGAGCTGATGATACGGTAAGAGAGTTTGTTGCATCCCTTGCAGATTTAACTGATTACTTGTGAAGGTAGCATCAGCTCTCATCATAGGATTTTGATTCTGAGCAAGTACTGACATTGAGCCAGGTGATGCTACAACTCCGTAAAGATTACTTGAACCAAAAGAATCAGCGCTGTTCATCGAGTATCCTTCACAAAGAAAAGAAAGAAAAAAAAAGCATATCAGTATGAGTTTGCATAACAATCAAAAACATGAAAGAGTTCCATTTCAAGAAAGCAGAGGAAGCAAAAAATTAGAGAGATTACCGTGCATGTATGGCGCCGCCTGTAACTGATCAACAGGTTGTACCAAAGGTTTAGATAAATTTGGCATATATGTGGACATGAATAGCTCTTCAGAAGTCATGGGTCTAGTAGCAAGCGGTACACTGCTAATTCCGAAGCCAGAAATAACTTGGTGTATGTTATTAGGCCTATAAACATCAACCATCTGGACATTTGCACCAGCAGTTTGGTGTCTCTGCAGGCCTGAAACCCTGACACCATCATTGTACATAGACTGATGATCGATATTAGCGGTTCTGTTAAACCCGCTGTCGCTAGAGCTGCTAGGAAATCCTGCAGATGCGCCGTTAAATAAAGAACCTGTGTTAACAAAGAAAGCGTCTATAATCAGGACATGAGATTCTAAGTCAAGTCTGAATTTTTACCTCCTCCTCCATTGGTGTAATTAATTGGCGGTATGTTTCCTGATTGGAGAGTTGCATTTGGTAAGTTATTATTAGCGGTGGTGAAAGTAGCCGCCGCGATGGAAGTATCAGGCGCATTTGAAACGGTGATCATGCCAACAGGAGAAGCACGGCGCTGAGAAGAGACTTTTTTACCTATTGTTCTCAAAAGCTTTTCAATGCGGAATTCAAGATCCCGTAAATCTGAGTACTCATTCTGCAATCAAGAAGAAGAAGAAGATTAGTGTGAATGTTAAAAACTTATAAGAAGTGGAAGGAACAAGAAGAACCTCTGATTTGGCTTGACTCATGAGTTGCTTGTCCACCGAGGTTGTAAGATTTTTAAGCTTTTCTTGAGAGTAAGCAACAGTCTTTGTAGAGAACCTCTTTTGCAAGTAAACATAACTTAAGAAAAAACAGAGAATGAATGAGAAATCTCAGACAGATCGATCGAGGTTGGTTTGGTTTTATCACAAAAAAAAAAAATCAAAAAAACCAAACTCTTACATCCTTGCTCTAGTCGCATAGCGTATTTTTTCACTGAACGTAGATTGATGAGGAGAAACAAGAGATTTCTGCTCAACAACATTCATCATCAAAGCATGAAGCTTAATCCTGAAAGTGTCAAAAACAAACCTTCTCCATTAGTCCAAAACCTTAAATAAAAAGACTAGTCT